CCAATAACCATACACATACTAAACTTAATTTTAATAATTTGAAATAAATTACTTTATATATAAATTTATATATAAATTCAATATATACAAATATGAATCTAATTCAACAACTAATAAGCATCTTAATCTTAATCTCAAAATCAATAATTTAAAATAAATAACTTTATATATAGAAGTCAATAAAACTATTACTCAAGTTCAACACCCATATGAACTTAAAACTTCAATTTGAAACACCATAACTCAAAGTCCCTAAACTTTATATATATAAATTTAATAAAAATAATACTTCAAGCATACATATCTCAATATCAATATTAAACATAATCCCAAAATCAATATTTACAAACAAATAACTTTGTATATAAAATTTTAGTGGAAATATCACTCTAGTTCAATACCCATATACATCTTAACCTCAATCTTAATATCAATTTCAACCTCAACCTCAATCTCAAATGGAATAATCCACAATCCTGAACTTTATATATATAAATTAAATCAAAATAACACTTCAATTAGCATACATATTTCAAACTCAAACCAAAAATCAATAATTTGAAATAAATAACTTGATATATAGAAATTTAATATAAACATCACTTTGATTCAATAGCCATGCACATCTCAACCTCAATCTCAAATGCAATAATCCGAAATTCCTAAACTTTATATATACAAATTTAATAAAAAAACATTTCAATTATCATACATATCTCAATCTCAAACAAATTGAAAGAAATAACATATATATATGAAAAAACATGCACTTACCTATAGTAGTGAGTACGATAATGTTGTAGAGGTTGGATTTAAATCTAAAATATGTAAAGAAAACAAAGGATAAGTTACTATAAATCCAAAAACCATTGCAAAAAAAAAGAAATTTTCAGTTAAGAAACTGATCGTCCAAGATGCGAGGAGGGGCAAGGCAGCACCAGTCTCCAGTTGGGGTGGTAAGGTAGAGGAGATGAAGGCTAGATTTTGAATCTACAAAAATAAAAAATGGGCTCCCATAGATCCAAATCAAAATTTAAAATATATAACTTTATATATAGAAAGGCAATATAAATATCATTCTAATTCTATAATTTAAAATAAATAACTTTATTTATAGAAATTAAATATATGTAGCACTTTAGTACAATACCTATATGAAAATAAACCTCAATCTCAATTTTAATTTCAACCTCAATCTCAAACACAATACTTCAAAATCCACTACTACAATTTGTATCTATAGCTACGAATTAACTCTATAAAAAATGAAATGGTAGCTAATAGGCAACAATAGCTACAACAAATCTACTATGTAGCTGCCTACAGTTTGGTCCTTGCTGCAGTCATGACAGGCTGAATTTATTATGGAATGCATAATCTCTCATTTCCTCAATTGGTAAGACTTAATTGTTCAGTTTTTGGAAATATATATCTATATATTTGGATTAGCTCAGTTTTAGGAAATATATCTCTAGTTTTCAAATAGCAATTCATGGAAATATCTCATTCCTCCTTTTTGTTGAGCTCATAACAAAAACACAGTTTTCTCACATGCATCTTGTGTAATGAGATAGAGTATAGCTTGCAGAGCCCTTTGAATTGTTCCTCTCCATAGTTTGGTACTGTGTAGGCCTTAAAAGTTGCTCTTAATGTGTCTGAGTTGGTGATAGGATAGGGACATGGTGGTGAGGTTACGGGAATGCAACATAGGTAAGGTTTAAAACTATGGCGAATCATGCAAATTAACCCTCAAACTTGTCAAGTAGTGTTAAATAAGCCCCTACCATCATCAAGCTGTTTGAAACTAACGATGATCTGCATCTGACTAGGATCCACTGAGTGATGTGATGCACTGCTGGATTATTTTTGATAAGCTAGCCATTCACTTCGATGATTAGGCAAACAACTCAGCAAATTAACAACAACTTAGTTAATTTTGGGGGTTAGGCTAGACAAAGAAGGGGAACTTTTGAAACCCTAATTTTTTTTTATTTAAATAGATTTGGGGACAAACACCATGAGATCAGCATATTCTCTAATCTTGTAGATGATGAAATCTCAATATTTGCTCCTATAGAACTAATAGGCAGTGTTTTCTTGAGATAATTAGGCAATAAGATGATAAACTAGGCAATAAGATTTTGTACTTGTCATGATACATAAAAACTCATTGCATACGTGTCGACACGCCAACCAGTTCCACCTACATCAAAGAAAACTCATTGAGTTGTTTGCATAATCATCAAAGTGAATGGCCAACTCATAAAAAATGGTCCAGCTGTGTGCCACATCACTCAGTGGATCCCACTCAGATGCAGATCTTCGTTAGTTTCAAATGGTTTGATGACGGTAGGGGTATTTATTTAACACCTTCCTAAAGTATAAGGTGGGGATGTGTCTGTATTGGGTTGAGGAGCTTATTTAACACCACTTGACAAGTTTGAGGGTTAATTTGCATGATTCGCCTAAAACTATCATAGCAATTAAAGCTCTCAAACTTGCTCTATTCCGTTAGGCCATTTACCAATAAATGATAAATTAGCTGGGCTTTATTATTGAAAGTGAGTTTGACTTTTTGCAAACTCAGACCACCCATAATTTAGGCCTTGAATTTAAAACACTTTCGTTTAATCTGTATCACTTCACATTTTGTCCAAGGAAAAATAAAAGACTTTCAACCTTCTCTTTTAATGATTAAATTAATTTTATTTGAATAGAGTGGGTTTATTTGTTATAATCCTTTAATTGTTGCACCTCCAATGATGTTCTTTTTATTGGCAAAAACCTACTTTTAGCCCCTTACATTGACAAGTTGGACGGCTTTAGCCCATCACCTTATAATATAATACTTTTAGCCCCTAAACTATAAGAATGGAAGAAAATAGCCCTCACTTGTAACTTCCGTCACACGTCTGTTATATTTACGTTAACTTTGTCTTGCTTATATAATAAATAAAAAAATGGGAAAGCTTCTCCAAGAAGCCTGCTGCATTTTTT